AGTAATACGTTAAACCAAATCAGTTTCCAAACACAATATTTTAAACCTTTTTCACACCTGTTTGGACAGTAATTCAATTATGTGCACTTAAATCTACAATATTGTAAATGTTCATGAGGCTGTCTGTTGACATGAACAAAGAAATGGGACTTTCTTCCCATAATATAATCGTCAGAATCTAAGTTTACATGGAAATTCAGGACATGAATTATTAGCTAGGCATACATCTGAGATTATTAGGGTGCTGTAGTTAAGTGACTTAAATAGCCTTAATTTTTGACCTCTGGAAATTTATGATCCAACAGACTTGTGCCATTTATTTTTTGGAATGTAAATTCTCTCTGACTTGGCATTTTTCTTTATTTACTTTGTAACCTAAATGTTAGAACATATGACACATTTTTTTGAATTGCAATTTTCACATTAATTCTGATAAATTGCTTTATGAATGACATATTTTAACTTAATGACAGGAAATTTTGGTTTACAAGCAAAATAATTCCATACATTTTCTTATGTGAGCATTGAATTTGATTTTATAAACCACTTTTTTGAGGAAATATGAGAAATAAGCCCAACAAAGTCACTTTCGTTCAATTCAAAGTAAAATGTGCTACAGATTCAACTTGATTTTCTCTAAAAAAAGAAGGTCTGAATCTAATGTATTTGAGGATTAATAGTTCTATTGATTTAAAAAATATTTGCAAATCTATATCATGCACGCCTGCTGATATTAAGATTGTTGGGTGGGGTGCTCAGCAAACATTTATAGGAGGGAATACTGTTTACATGTTTAACAGTGTGTAATAAAACATGTGGATACTGAATTGAAGGTTGCATTATGACACCAGATGTTTAGGTATTATTAAGTTTACCATCCCAAACTCAAAGGGAATTGTTTATCAATGAGGTACCAGGTACCCGGAATCTAGGCAGAGAAAACAATGTATCCATCTGAAATCAGTAAGGAAAACTGAAACCATCTGATATATTAGACTTTCAAAGCGTTTTAATATGGGAGCTGGGGACTTGGAGCTAATGGAAAAGCTGAGAATGAGGGATGTACCTCTTCTCTTCAGGCACATATTCAATACTGTTATTCTTGTTCTGCAGTTATCTACATTTTATGAAGTGAACTATTGTTCAGGACAAATAATATTCTGAATTTTGAAATACACAAATCTCTGCCCAAATGAGAAAGTTTAGTGGACAAATTTCTCCTGTAAATTTAAAATGGTACCCTCAAAGTTGTCTTATTCAATAGTTATAGAGATTAAGGACCAGATTCCACATAGAGAAGATGTAGTTTCTCCTTAGAACATTTCAAATCATGGATGACAATGCTTTTCAACTGAGGGCATACTTCCCTAGAATAAGGCATAACAAAATTTGGGATTAGTGGGAGAAAGTAGAGTGTTGTTTGAAGTAGTTGTATAAAGTTACCATTGCTTTGATTTGGTTTTAGTAAAGATGTTTAATTCATATTGAATTTAAATCACATTAAAGAAGGTTTAATATGTGTATCAATAGAAAGCATGGGTTATAAATGTCCAGAGACTTTGATACAATGGGCCAGGCTGCACAGGTCCTCAAATTGTTTAGGGCCAATTCTACTTGTATAAAGTGAACTCCTACCTGCCTCAGAGGATGCAAAGAAGGGTCCTCTGGACTCTTACCGGGCTGTACAGGAAATTAGGGCTGTACTGTCAGGCATATCTGTGTGGACTGAGATAAAGTTCCTGTAGGTGAGAAACGAAGCCTTGTGGCATTTTGCCAAGAGAAGCTCATATTTCTGAGGACTCAGGGGTTTCACCTGCTTTGGCCTGTATCTGTTGGCTGGTTCCTCACAGTTTTATTGTTATACTCACCAGCATAACAGGAACAAAGAGGAGGGTTTTTTCTTATATTTCTTTCTAGCCGTGAGGGGGCTCTTAAGAGGTGATAATTAATTCTCCCTCTTCCCTCCACTTCTGAGTTCAGATTCAGTTCAGAAACATGGTCACACAAGTTAGAAAGATGGAAATAAAAATACTAGTTTTATTACTGATAAGGTTGCTTTGGGGAATGAAATTGAACGTGTGGGCAAAAACTGGTTTCTCTGACCATTTCCCCCACATCTGAATATTGCACTGGCTGCGCAAGGAAGAGTTTGGATCTGGAGAGCAGAGGCACATTTACCCAGAACCCCTGCCTTCCCTCTGCAACCCTGTCTTGGTTTGAGTTTCCACAGAGAACGAAGATTCTAATACAAGTAGTTTATTTATGAAAGAACACAGCAGATGAGCAAGGGATGTATGGTGTAAGGAAGGGGAGAGGGCCAATGATGTGTTAAGCCAACTCTCCTGGTGAGAGACTGTGTCTTAATTCCACAGGAAAACTTTGGGAAAGAATATAAAACTCATGCCTCATCATTATCCCTCCCAAGGGGTAAGGGAGCTGGGTGTTTGGTAATGGAGGAATTCTCCTAGGGTGTGCTAATTCTGTAAGTGCCTGGGCACAGGGGACTTCTGTGGTTTGAAAAAATTCCTCAGGTTCAAAGATGGAGATACTGGAAGGTGAAAGCCAACCAGAGCACACTGATGTGATAGAATGAAAGGGGTGTACATGGGCACGGATGATGGCGGTTACAAGACCCCATAAAGAGTTCAGAGGCAGATCAGTCTCCAGGCCTGCTTCTAGAAGACGGGCTGTGGGCTTCCAGGCTGACCCAATGCTTCCTGCAACGAGGAGCTGAAGCAGAGCAGTCTGAAAATATTTTGTAGGCAGGCAGATCCAAAGAGACAGGGAGAGAGAGAGAGACAGGGAGGAGGCTGGATCACTTAAGTCGTTCCATTTTCATTGAGAGGTTGGGAGGTGGCAGAGAGAGGGACTGCAGTTCCCTTTCCAGACTGTCCCCTCCAGGAGGGAGGAGCAGAGGTTGTACACCAGGAGCCAATGGAGGAACACGGAGAGAAGAAGAAAGCGGTACTACTGAGTAGTTCAGTGACGTGAAATGGAGAATTTGTCCTTAAAACATGATAATAATTGTTAACATCAACAACAGGGAAGGAATAAGCGTGCAAATCACAAAAGGCACCACCTTTTCGAAAAAGGTTTCCACGGTAAAGACACTGAGATCCTTGTCTACGCATTGGTCTTCTTTTTCCTTTTCTGACCAACTCTTCTTCCAATCACTTTTCCCTCTGTCTTTCTTCTCCTTTATTGTCATGATCATAAGCTCTGAACTGTCACAGGCTACATCCGATGGGCAGGGAGCAGGGCAGAGGGGACAAGGGGAAGTAAGATCTGACAATGGGACGTTTGCACTGCTGGTGAGGATAAGCAAGAGTGGCTTGTAAGAGGCAGCTAAGAGATCAGTAGCTGCGACAGTGATTGGAAAGGAGAGTGGCAGCCTGTGAATCAATCCACAGGTTATATGTGATGTACTTGTGTTCTTTATCCTTTTAATATAAGTAAATAAGCCAAATATTTAGGTGTATTGTTACTAATACCAGACCAGTCGATAAGACAGTAGGGAGGATAAGCTGCTGTAACAAAGTCACACAAAAATACAGTGGCTCAAACAAAATAAAAGTTTCTTTTTCTGTCATCTAACAGAACAGAGGCAGGTGGCCAATCCGGGATAGGCTGGCTGCTCTGTCCATGGTCCTGGGTTTCTCCTATCTCGGTACTTCATTCCTGGAGTGTGTTCCTGTCCGTGCTCTCAGAGCCGCTCACACCATCCCTTTCAGCTCATAAGAAAGAGAAAAGAGAGAAGTGGAAGTCGAGCAGCTTCCTTTGGAGAATGTGACCCGGAAGTTGAACACGGCACTTCTGCTCACAGCTCATTGGTCAGAATCTAGTCACATGACCCTACTGAACTGCAAGGGAGCTGGGAATTAGTGTCTGTTTGGATATCCATGTACCTTTCCAAAAGTGTGGCGGGGGGTGGGATTTTATGGCTAAAAGGAAGAATGAAGTAGAAAAGTAACTTGGGGACAATTAGAAAAAGCATGGTAAGTTAGTTGCAAAGATTTTTGGTGACTAATCTCATGAATTTATATGTCCTATATTAAAATAAAATGTATATTTTATTGTGTTATGGTCATTACACTTACCTTTAGGTTTGCTTACTCTAATATGCTGAATGTAAATTTAATTTTTAAGTGAACTTGATTGTAAGTACTGGGTTTATTTTACTTGAGCCTTATGACAACACAGTCTTAAGATTTTTTTTCTCTACCTATATATACTACAGATGTTACTGTCAATTTTACAGTTACCATGAGATTTTCCTTATTTTCTTTAGTGCAAAAGCTTACATTTACTTTCTAATAATTTCCGTTTTTATCATCTATTATTGATTTGAATGTAGCATGGCAAAGGGTAAGTAAATATTTTGATGTCTTCCAAAACAAAACTTAACGGTCTGAACTCAGATTGGTGTGAGTATCTTTGGATCATCCCTAAACTGGAGGCAAACCACCCTTGGTCTTCTTTATCGTGTAACTGGAAATCTGGTTTAATTTTATGAATTAGCATGCACCATGGAGTCTTGTACAGTTACTTTCACAGGGTAAATGCTCAATAAATATTGGTTGAATAATTAAACTGGGTTACTCAGAGCTCATTAGAAATGATAACTCCCTTGGAACAAAGGTGACCTGAATCAGTGTTAGGCCATCTTTTTCAGACAAAAGTACTTGGTATTTTTTGTTTGTTTAATAATGTGATTTATAGCCTATCTAATGTAAATAAATAATGTGTCAATAAATATAGAAAAAAACTATAGAAATTTCATTCATTGTAAGAAAAGATTTCTCCTTCCTTTAAATAGCATAAAAGAAGAGAAGCAACCAACACAGTGCCTGACGTAATAGATTCTCTGTAAATAGTAGTCACAATTAATTACCTTTTATGTTGTTCCTTAGGTCACAGGACAAAGAAGTAATAAGTTTTCCACCAATACAAAACAAATCATAGCTTTCTGGCAGTCATTCAATCATTCTCTATTTTAATAGGGATCAAATTCACTGTCACAACGTAGAGAAGAGAGTCCAATTTGGAAATGCAAGAAGAGCTCATTTGAGAAATACTCTGTCTACACAAACTTAGCATATGGAAAGATACAATAGTTACCGAACAGATCCCCAGATTTTACTTGTGAAATACCCCAGGGAACTCAGCAAGCTTTTACAGAACCTTCGAGCTGTGTGAGTTCAGAAGACCTTGCTGGAGAATATTTTTTATCCAACTGTCTCTCTGGCATATGTCCAGTGGTACTATATTGGGATATTCTGGAACCCCTGATAGGACACCAGAATGTTATAAAAGCAGCATGTGGTAAGTGACCCTGATTGATTGATATCAAAAATTCTTTCCTAATGAATTGGCAATGCTATTCCATTTTACCTCTCTCAAAAAAGAATCCCGCTCTTCAATTTCTTTTTTAGCCTGATTCTAAGTCATTTGACGTTAAATCTGTGGACTTTTATTATTCTCTCTTTCCTTACTTCCCAAACTTGATTGAGGCTGCAATTAATCTTAGTAATTTCTTTAAGCTGTATGACATGATGCCTTAGGCACATTGAGGACATCCATATTTAACTTTCAAGTTTCTTAACTTTCATAAAATTTGCTTGTGTTAAAATCCTCTTCCATCTTGCTTAAAATCAACTGACATTTCCCCAAAGGGTTCAAGATATTGGATACAAATTTTGGCATCTCAAAATTCCTCCTAAATATTAGAAAACACTAGCAGTGGGAAAGTTGTTTATTACATTTTCATATTTTGATAACTGATAATTAAGAAGTTAATTTTCTTTAAAAGCAGTCCTCAACAACATAGATCTACATCTATTTGTTTATAAGATAGTTTGTTATTCCATGCAGTAGAGGTAGTAGTTTTAATTTTTTTTTTTTTTTTTTTTTGCGGCACACGGGCCTCTCACTGCTGTGGCCTCTCCCATTGCGGAGCACAGGCTCCGGACGCGCAGGCTCAGCGGCCACGGCTCACGGGCCCAGCCGCTCCGCGGCATGTGGGATCCTCCCAGACCGGGGCACGAACCCGTGTCGCCTGCATCGGCAGGTGGACTCTCAACCACAGCGCCACCAGGGAAGCCCTAGTAGTTTTAATATTTTGAAATTAAGATGGAACTTCTAAATATATTTTAAAAAATTAAACATTTTATGTCAATTTTCCCATAAAAGTGGAAATAAACTGGCATAATGTTAATTCATTTGCCTAACAGCAGTGAGAGTGGTCAATTTTACTTTTCCAAAATGCTCATCTCACAAATATGAAATGCTAACATTTATTAATTTTGACTAGCAGGTACACTGGAGTTTGTTATATTATTCTTTGAAATAGTTTGTACTATTTTGTACATTGTATTTTTTCCTAAATAAGAGAAATCAATAGCTTTGCCCTAAATCTTTTGATTTTCTGGGAAATTAGGGAGTTGGGGTGCATCTTGATGAAAGAGAGATTTTGTCCATTTTGTTAGGTTAGATCGTAGTGGCCGGTGACAAGGTTGTATATTAGTGTAGCTAAGTGAACGGGGGTGAACTCAGTGTTAGTTCAATTAATGGGTGCAGAAACAGGCAATGAATTAGCGTGTGAATCAAGCAGAGTGCTTTCTGTACCAAAACAATATTTGAAGGTAATAGGTTGTCTGTCTAGAAAAGGCATAAATGTTCTCATTGACATATGACCCTCCTCAGCAAAGAAGAGTTTGTCGCCCCGATTTTAGTGCTTGCCCTTTGAACAGTACTTGTTTCTGCAAGTGCATATTTGTCATATGCCTAGTGTATATTTTTCAAACAGTGCTTTAAGTAGGATTCAAATAATAAGTAAAGGAACTTGAGTTGTCCTTAATGTTTTAGATGCTGTAGATGCGGCTTTTGAAAATGTAAGGTGGAACTAATTTTGGCCAAGGAGTGTGGTACTAAACTACCGTTTCTATTTAAACCCCTGCCTCCCCTCCACCCTGTGTATTTTTTAAGGTTTACTAATTATAATTAATTTTCCTTTTCGAAATTCACTTTTAAGAGAAGGCTCTGCTAGCTGGCTGCAAGAGCAAGCAGCAAGCCTAATCATGCGGGGCGGAGGAGGGAGAGGGTCAAATAGTGGGGCTGTGGCTGGGTGCTAGTGGTGGGGGACTTCGAGAGGGGAACCGGCGGAGAGACTGCAGTGACACTGCCCTCCCCGGGCGGGTGGAAGCATCTCACTGGTGACGGGTCTGAAAGCACGTGGCTACGTCATGGAAAGCCAGTCTTTTCAATGCAAACTTCAACCCCTCCTCCTCCCCCTAATGCCGGTAACTCACATCCAAGGCTGGGCGAGGAATCCGGAGGGGAGATTTTCCTCATGCTCACCGTTGTTGGAAACTGGGAGAGAGAGAGAGGAAGGCGGCAGGGGATCCGAGGCGCTCTCTACCTACTACCAGCCTGACCAGGGGAGGGGTCACCTAGATTTGCATCTTTTCTTCGTGGTGGTTGAGAACTGCAGGTTCAATCCGATCCCCCTGAGCACTGGCGCTTGATTATAAAAAAAAAAAAAATCGACACTGGGAGAAGGGAGGCTGTGTCTTCGGCTGTCAGACTCGGAGGTGGTATTGGTGTGTGTATGTGTGCTGGTGGTTTTTTTTTTTTTTTTTTTCTTTTTTCTTTCTTTCTTTCTTTCCTTTTTTTTTTTCCCTTTCCTTCTCTCCTAGGGACTACACAATGGCAGTCTTCTCTCAGTGAGATGAATCCTGCTTTGACTCCTGCAGACTCACCCAGCCTCATAGCGATCAACTAAAAGGCTATGGTTTTCTCTTTGGGGATCTTTTGTGCATTACTGTTCTCCCTGATTAGTTCTGGTCTCAGTTGGGATTTCTTTGCTTTTTTGTTTGGCTTCATGCTGAAAAAGGATTTTTTTGCCAACCCTTTGGTAATAATCCAGTGGTGATCAAGGGGATAAATCATTCACCCTGGCCGAAAAAAAACAATCTCTGAGAAGTCTCAAAGAAATATACCACGTGAGGGGAAAAAACTGGGAGAAGATCCGGAATATTATCGTTTTTCCTATGGTAAAACCGGTGCCCCTCTTCAGGAGAACTGATTTCAAATTATTATTATGCAACCACAAGGATCTCTTCTTTCTCAGGGTGTCTAAGCTGCTGGATTGCTTTTCGCCCAAATCAATGTGGTTTCTTTGGAACATTTTCAGCAAAGGAACGCATATGCTGCAGTGTCTTTGTGGCAAGAGTCTTAAGAAAAACAAGAACCCAACTGGTAAGCAAAACATGCATCATGTTATGTTTTTCCTCATAATAACCTGTCTGTTGCTCATTGAGCTAGATCTGCAGTTCGGCTATGCAGGAAGGCAGGGGAAACAGAGAAGGACCAGGACGGTGTTGTGTATAGAGGTGTTGCGTGGATAAACAAGTAACAGCTGGGTCGGCGTCTGTGAGCCCCAAATCATTACCAGCATCTCTTGGCTGTGACACAATCCATCACTAGGAGGGAGGAGGAAACTTTTTTTTTTCCTTTTCTTTTTTTGGAATGTATCTGGTTGACGATGTTTGGTGGAATATTGAAGGGTTTATGGCTTAAGGTTTGGCCCGAGGCAGTTGAAGCTTCGGTAGTTGCCAGGAGAAAGAACCACGAGCTCCCCTGACTCGTGCTGCAGGTCCGGGGACGTAGCTCGGTGCCGAGAACCTGCTCTAGACTTTCTGAGTAGCTTGCACAATATTCGCCACCCCATCACCTTCACCGAAGGAAAGAGGCCCCCTCCGTCGCGGCCCCGCTCCTCCGTCAGCCCCCGCCTCCCGCCCCCGTCTAGCTCCGCGTGCCGAAGTATGAACTCCTTCCCCCGTCTGCCTCCGACACTCCTGCTCTGGGAAAACTTGAGCAGGGCTCATGCCGGGAGGGAACCCCAGATGGAGCAGACAAGCCCGGTCTCTCTAGTATATGTAATTTAAACCTCCCTTTTAAAAAGCAGTGTCCTAGCCCGGCGTCTGGGTCCCCCGGGTGGGATGAGCCTGGCCCCGGGTCCCTGCTTCAGCCTCCTGGTGATCGTGCGCCCCCATTCCAAAAGGCTCCAACCGGGAAACTTGCAGTACATTACATAAGAAATGCAAATGCAGGTGATTCGGGGAGTCGGGTCCCCGGGATTCACTTCCCGCTATCTCAGTCTGAGGCATTTAGGGGCGGCCGCGGAGCTGTGGGCGAGCAACCTCGGGGAGGCCAGGCCGGAGGGCTGCGTGGCGGAGGCGGCGCACGGGCGAGGAGGCTGGGCGCAGCGGGTCCGGGAGCCGCGCGCGCCGGCGGCAGGGGGTGTGTGGTGTCCCCCGGTTCGCTTCAGGCCGGGGAGGGACCCGGGCTGGGTGTTCCATGTCTGGGGCCCTGTTGGGGGCGGGGCCCTGGCCGTCCTGCAGTGGCAGCCCGGGTGTCCGAGGCTCCTGACGCTGGCACTGCGGTGTAGTAGATCACGGCTCCTCGCGGGCGCCCTGACACCCCGAGCTCCACCAGGGGCCGCGCTGGCACCCGGAGCCCCAGCGGCCGGGCAGCAAGTGGCTGCCGCCTCCCTGCCTCCGAAGCTGCCTAATGCAGCCTAGTTGGGCGGCGCGCTCCCAGTGAGCTGCCGCCTGCGGGTGCCGGGGAGGAGGAGGAGGAGGAGGGGGGAAGGGGGAGGAGGAGGAGGGAGGGGAGGGGAGGGAGGAGGAAGGGGAGGAAAGAGGGGGAGGGAGGGAGGAGGAGGGGAGGGAGGAGGAGGAGGGAGGGGAGGGGAGGGGAGGGAAGAGGGGGAGGGAGGGGAAGGGGAGGGGAGGGGAGGAGGGGGAGGAGGTGTGGGTGGGCGGGGATGGAGGCGGTGGGTGTGGATGCTGAGCACCCCCTGCAGCCCCCTGTGCTGCGGCAGAAGGGAAAGTGCAAGTTCTGAGACCCTCCGGAAGGGCAGATGCTCGCGTGCTGGCGGACGCCTGGCAGTTGCCGTCAGCTGGGACCTTCGGATGGCTGTTGAGTCTGTGGGCGCGGTGCTGCAGCGGGCCCCGTGCCTCCGTCCTGGAGTTCTCATCCCTGGTTTCTAGCTCTCCCCGCTTTCTTCCCGTCCCCCTCTTCTTCCCCCCAACCCGACCCCCACCTCCTCCATCCCCGGTCCTTTGACCCTTCTCTCTCTTAACTTAGCGTTTAGCAGCTCTGAGATGATCCCACCATCCTGAGAGCTACCCAACGAGAAAGCAGTGTGGTCACCTTACCAACCACGTCTCCAGTTGGGCTGTCAGGTGTACCCTAACCCCGCATCAAGCCCAGCACTTGCTGATGCCTTGGTCATAGCTAGATCTGCAACACTACCATCTCAAGTTCACGCGAAGACCCTTTTGGCAAGACTTCCTAAAGTGGGACAAGCCAAGGGCTGCGGTGGGGTTCCTCCCTCACACAGTAAAACTACTGGTTTTTGAAACCTTCTTGTGTTCTTCTTTGAAAAGATTTAGCTCCCTCTGAGACAGGACTACTAGAAAAGCATTTCTTTAGACTTGGCCATTTGTTTAGGGATCTTGAAGTCAGTCCCTCCATAGTACTGGAGAGTGGGCAATAATTCAGCATGGAACAGTAAGTTTCCTTACTGCCTTTGATAATGTCTTTTTTTTTGTAAACAGTTTTACTGGAAACACTAAGTTTCACCGATACACGATTCAAGATCTTTTTATTACACCTCCCCCACCCCACCCACTTTCATCTCTCTGGAATAAAGTAGATTTTTTTTTTTTTCCTTCCGAGGCATTTGGAAGGTGTCAAACAAATGACGACTTATTTTTAGAGCAATTTATTTTGCAGCTTATGAATGCTAAAGTACTCGGGGGTGAATTGATGGGTTAACTCAAACTCTGTCTAACAACGGCTCCAACTACTCCACTAGGATAGTTTAAGTCCTAGATTGCCAGGGGTGAGAATTCCAACCTTGGAGTTGGAGCATTTTGTAAATTATTTTTTAAATGGGACATTAATGTGTCACACTATGTATCTCACCTTCTAAAAGTTTTGCCGTTTGAGCTTAAACCATCCTGTGCCTAGCCATTCTCTTTCAGGATTGTAGTTGGTAAATTCCATTCTCCTTCTGCTATTAACATGAAGCCTAAAATCATTTGCAGGTTTTTGATCCCAAGATAGCAGTATAACTAAGAAGTTAATTGGGTAATTGAAATAAAACAAAGACTAAAATCCTCGTAACTGTTAAAACCAAAAAGAACAGATTGACTACTACCTATTACGTTATCTTAAATCTAAAACGAGGACAATTAACTGGTTTCAGACTAAGAAGCTTGTCAGAATACCTGCACGTACCAGTAGTAGGACCATGAATTTGGTGTAACGACTTCTTATTAGATGAATTTTTCTTCCCAATCTTTGTAAGTTATAAAATGATTTACTGATTATTCCCACTGCTTTAAGTTGTCAACAAGTACAGGCAGTTCGGTCAGGGGTTCCTGAAAGGAATTTCAGAGTACTGCTATATAATCAGGTTGGTGTAGAAATAAGCAAATGATAGAGTCATGAACTTAAGGGCAAAGTTACTCATCTACCCAAAAGTTCTTAATTCATGTTTAAATAAGAGGTGTTAATTAAGTAGGTTTTTTTTTCGTTGTTTCTATGTAAAAGTTAACTGGAAAAGAGCATGAAGAATATATTTGCACAATATATGCTTTTTAAAATAAATTGCAATAGCTTAGAAATCCTGGATAGAAAGTAAATTTACTGTCTTCATAAACATGTCCAATATCTCACAATACAACTATTATCAGAGAACACACACACACACACACACACACGTGCGCTTCATGTCCTACCTTCCCTTATTTTCCCAGTAGAGGAATAGCTATATGTTTATAATAGATGTTACCTTCTTCAACTGTCACTGCATGAGTTATGCAAGGTGACTGTATTTTAGGCAGATCATTAAATAGGGAATACTGAGTCCAACGCACTTACTTTGCCTGGAGGAGGGCTTGATATGTTTCTTTAAATTAGTACTGAGAGTTTGGACTGACCGACATGTGTCACAGGCCAGTTTGGGAAATAATCTAGGTCGCTGAAATCTGAGCAATGGCTGCTAAGGAAATAAATATGGTTGGAAAAAAGAAGTCCACAATAGGGGACTTCCCTGGTGGCGCAGTGGTTAAGATTCCGTGCTCCCAATGCAGGGGGCCAGGGTTGGGGAACTAGATCGCACATGCATGCCGCAACTAGGAGTTTGCATGCCACAACTAACTAAGGAGCCCGCCTACCACAACTAAGGCCCAGGGCAATCAAATAAATAAATAAATATTAAAAAAAAAAGTCCACACTAAAGATAAATATGAAGGTCGTATCATGGATGTCGCTTCAGATACATAATGTCCAACAGGCAAAGGAAGCCACAGACCCTCAAATATATACAGCTACTCACACATACAAACTTCCACGGCTTGATAGGATTTTGGAAAGCAGAGATTTTAAGAAAAATTGTAACCAGATGTAATTTTATTGGGTACCAGCGTTTGTGGCAAGGAGGGTACGAAGCGGATGCCCTAGACCTAGTTCTGCAGAGCACATTTAGAAAATCCCACAAACTCATGGCCCTGAGTGTTTCCTCTTTTGAACTGTCTCCGTCTCTGCCATGAAACTTTGAGATGAAACAAGCAGGGCTTGGTAGAATTCACTGTCACTTTCTATTTCCTACTTTTTTTGGGTGTCTTCCAGCCCTGCTTTTGCCTTTGACTAAGCTGTTTTAGGTGCCAAAAACATCTGGTGTGCCACTGTTACTCATTTAAATATATGTTATTCTTTTAAAGCTACTTGCTTTACATCTAGGGGCGGTCATGGCTTTGAGAAGTGAGAAAATAGGAAGAGGGAGAAGAAAAAGGAGTAAAGCATTTTTCACCCCTTCTCCTCTGCCTGCCGACTCATCTTGGGTTCCTGTAGAGCTGGGTGAGCTACAAATGGGCCATACATAACCTGTGCATTTCTAAACACTGAGCATATGTAAAATGGAGACATCAAATTCAGACTGCATGGCTGGAACACCAAACAGATGTAAGGTCCTTCTCTTTCTAGTATGCTTGCCTTCAGCGTGGGATTCCATGTAATATGAGTTGGCCTTGGATTCCATCTAGGAAGCTTCATTACTGAAGTAGCATAATGAGTTTTGCAGGCAGTAGCACTTCCTGAACCAAAGGATGACATGTTAGGTAGGCTTCCAAGTATTGATTTGTTGGGAGTGTCGACTGTTTTGTTTTATGTTTGTTTTAATTTATATCCAAGTTAACGAGTGTGAAATCCAATCAGTGATCATGTAAACTTGGTTTTAACAGTGGAGATCACTTTAGTTGTACCCATATCCAGCCTGTTCTCATCTTAGGCAGCCTCCCTGAGAACATCCGTTCAAATGATGCATTGCTTTCAGAAGGTGCTAAAGCTAATTCTATAGTTCATATTTCCTACGCGGAGCCACTCCTTTAAAAATGTTCAAACCCAGTCTTCCATGTTTTAGCAACACAAACACTGAGGACTTTTGTGAAGTGTTTTTATACATATTGTAACAAGGACAACCACCAAAGGTTTTGCTCCTTTGTACATTTTGGCATCATAACTCACTCAATTGACTCATAAGCTTTCTATAAATATGTAGATGTCTCAAAATGGAAGCATTTATTCAAGATAGTTTCTTACGGTTTATGGGGAAACAGTTGGGATGTTTGAACAGTATATTTGAAGCTCCTCTACTAAGTTTTAAATGAGACATTGCATCGTGTGTATATTCTTAATAAAACCTTTGAGCCCAACTTAGTACCACCTCCAGGAGGGACAGTGGGCCAGGGAAATACCAGCAGACACGTCTATCTGCCTGGTGCCATAGTCTGTGTGGTGTTTCTTAGGGTTTTAGATTGTGTACTGTGTACTACATTTAGTTATAAGAGTTGAACTTGAGCACAGAACGGCAGGGAATTGTCTGAGGGCGACTTCTCAGTTCCTCCATATGCCTCCAGAGATGCACTAACTTTTTTTTTTTTGCTATTCTGCTTTTGAAGGACCAAGTATGTCTTGATGTTCTCCCTGTGTATTTCTCTGGTTGGTACAAACTAATTTTCTGCTTTGGCCGGAAGTAAAAGGTAGGATGATGAAGGGAAGAGGAGTTGAAAGGAGGAATCCTTAGGGCTTTCCTAAACATGAAAGCAAAAATGGAGGCATAGCGCAGACATGTTTTACAGGGAACACTGACGTTTTTGTTTATCTAACCTACTAACACCATCGAAGAAAGTCACCTAACAATTGTTGAGCACTGTTGCCTTTATCGCTGTCCCCTGTCAAAAACTCAGGTTATGACAAGTCTCAGGTTTTCAATACATTTGTATTAAATGAACTAACGGTGAAAAATAGCGTTTTCTGAGAAAGTTAACTGTGGGACTGTAGCTGCCACTGTCATACAATTTACTTGGTGAAGTTCACTTAACGCCTACTCCTTTCCAGCAGTGCCAACCAAGAATTTGGCTTCTAAATGGTAAAACCAACAAGGAAAAACAGCTGTTAGTGGCCTTCTTTCTCTTCATGCTCCGCGCCAGCGCATCCTGAAACATGGTTTGCAAACATTCCCCTGGGCTCAGGCCTTCCTCAAACACACAAGCGCATTCACCCCTCCTGGCCCGCTCACCCTTTAAATAACAAGTGTTAGGACACCATTTGGTTCCCTCTGCCAGAGCCCCCCTTCATTTTCTTTTCTGATCTTTAATGTTCTCCAAAAGGAAGGCATTCCGAAAAACAGTGGAGTGAACTTGAATTGTTTCTCTCTTCCTGTCTGAACTCCTTTCTGTGAAGATGGTCACTGGGCCCATCCGATGTGGCACGTTTCCGTTCTAGAGTGGACAGCACCTAAACAGCCTCGAGTTTCACTTGCTTTGAAAGGAGGTGCCCCCTCCCTTCCTATTTTGTTCCTTTCCGTTTTAAAGCAGTCATCTGCAAACTTGGTGGCGCCCTGCTTTCCCAAAACCACACTCAGCTACTCAGCTTCCGCCCTCCGGAGCCACCGTCAAAGGCGGACGCACGACTGGGGCAGAGCCCCGCTCACCAGAGCAGCAAGCGGGACGTGGACTGTTTTCTGCTAGCCACGAGCCGGCCACCTCTGCGGCTCGGATCTGCTTCCAGGAGTCGGGCCCCTCGGGGATCTGGCCGGAGCCGGGCTCGGAGTCTGCCTAATGGAGCCCCGAAGAGAGGAGGCGCAAAGGCGACGCGTCGCCTTCCTCCGCTGTGACCCGCGGCCAGAACTCCTGGGACCGGCCAACCTGCGCTCCACGCCTCGGGGCGTCTGGGGCTCTGCGGCGCAATGCGGCGGAAGCGGCCCGTCCGAGCCGCCGTAGCGCGGGAGGTATCCGTTGCCACAGGGATGACCTCTGACCCTGGAGCGCCTCTGGCGGCTCGGAGGCCGGCGCAGCCGTTGCTATGGAAACCACGTGGCCGGAAGCCGCGGGGTGGGCGAGACGGGGTGCGCGGGCCGCGC